GGGAGTTAGGTTTGCCCTTTGCCAGTCAGTGGGAACTTCCACCAGATTGCCATGACTTTTCAAATATGAGGTAAGCAGCTTAGCAACTTCATCTGCTATTTCCCTCAGACCCACAGATGATCTCATCAGGTCCCACGGGCTTGTTGTGATGGTGCATTTTACCCTTCATCAACAGGACCCTTATCTCTTATTCTTTATCATTATCTGCTTTGATGATAACAATGCATCTGGGTGCAACAACCCCACCCTGCTCAGCCAGATTCAGGGGAAATGCATAATACCATAGCCATGGGCTAGCCTGAACAAAACGTTCAGGTGTAAGAGCAATAGGAAAACTCAACTACAAGTCAATCATCTTACCCCCATAAATAGTAGGCAGCCCAAGAGCCCTTTGAGCATTCCTGAACAGCAGCTGGCTGCACTCCAGGATCTCCCCCTGAGCAGGGACTCCTGTTGAGGATATCCCTGGGGTTGAGAGATTCCTTGCCACAACAGATCATTGGTAAATGCCATATCTCTACACACACAGAGCATGCTTAAACTTTGAATCATTGCTCAGGGTGCACTCAGTCTTAACTGTACCCATAATCTCCCATTTAGCTTGTGCTCTCTGTAGTAAATAATCAAATGTACCTCAACATCAAATTCTGTTTCCTCCAAGCTGCATTTACTGTCTCAAACTTTGCTGAAATGCTGTCTTGTATCAATATATTGTTACTTCCCTCTTGTGAGCAAAGGGCATAACTCCATTTCCAGTGACACGTACATCTTCAGGTTCCTCAGATGGTCTCAGACCTGATCCTCACTTACAGTAGGTGCATCTTCCTTCTCCCAGTCCCTGACTTTGCCTTCTGCAACTTGGGTGGTGTGGCTAGAGCCTTTGCTGGTGAAGACTGAGGCAAAGAAGTAGTAAGCCTACCTCTTTCAAAGATGTCCCAGAAGGAAAAAAAGTGAGAACAGTATTAGGAGTGAGGCAAAGGAATGCTAGGAAAGGCCACATCACAAAGCTTCCTATATTATTTCTCTGCCCTACAAACTTCAAGGAGCACAAGAATGATCCGTGATAGTACCCCTAAACTCCAAAGGTACTGGCTTATTTTTAAATAAATTCCAAATGGCAGGAGTAAGAAGAACTAGTGTTAGAGGTAGATCTTCTGATGGATCTATTCCATACCTACATGCACCAGTAGAAAACACCACCAACTTTTACTTGGTTTGTTTCCCTGTTGGAAGTTACCAACTCCTCTGATCTGCTGGGAATCTGTACTTGTGAGCTCTCTCTAATCTGCTCTGAGTGCAGGCAGTTCATTTCAAACACTTCAAATGGTATCTGTTCTAACTTGACTCATTAGACATAAAGCAATGTTCAATTTTTGGACCAGGAGTTTATAAAACAGCTCCCCAGCACATCAGTTAGGCTCTTAATGCTTTTCACATTCACAGCTGGACACGGAAGACAATGTTCATCAACAGCCTTACAGCTAGGCAAGAAAGTCACTGGATCAACAGATAACAGATCACCTATGAACAGGGAACACAGAAAATGGCCCCAAGATTCGAACACACTGAAAGTAAATTTTAGATTTTTCATCTAAGCTGCCACATAGTCACCATCACATGCCAACAAATTACCAAAAAAAAAATCGAGTAACACAGTATCTTGGTTATCTCTTCATTATTGCTTTACCCACTGTGGTCATTCTCACACTGGAAATTACAGACAATATGCTCTAAGAAGGTGAGCAAGGTAGATACTCTTGCATCCAGCAGCCATGCTACCCCTACTCTGTGCAACATTCACGATGACCAAAGCACATGAAGACCTAAACCAACCACAGCCTGCATCCCAGAGACCCCAGCCCATACTCCTCACAGAGAGGAGGTTACCAAAGACCCTTCTAACTCTTTATTCCTTAAGAAGGGATCTGCCTCACATATAAATCACTGAAGACCCCTGAAGATTCCAGTACATGACACTTTCTCACAACCCCCACTCCAACGATAACCAGGTCCAGGGTAATAGGGGAGAAATACAAAAGACCAAGTCAAAAAACCTTGTCAAGAGTCAGAAAAGGGCTCCCCAAGGACTGAAGATAGTAAGCTAGGTGGGCATCCACCTGTATGTTCACAGGCAGGAGACTCAAAGGCAGCAAAACCCCAGAAGAGAGCTGAAGTCCCCAAAACTATCTTACTACAAAGATATATTTACCCTGTCTTCATTCTGATGGATACATGTCTGATCCCTACCACCCACTCTTTCTCACCCTGAGAAATAATCTGTGATTCAAAACAGTAGTTTGGCCATCTCTGGAAGCATACTACTACTTGCTTTCAAATCAATAAACTCAATGATTGTGTGAAGTTTCAAAATACTAACTTGCTGAATCTTAGCCAAAGGAGGCATTGCTGTGTACCCAAATTCACCTGCCATGCTCCCCCCCCAAGCAATCACTGCAATTTCAGCAAAAGTTGACATGACATAGAGCAACACCACAGGCTGAGCACATCTGAACCGTTACTCACAATTACAGTGCTTTCCACTGACCAGTATGGCTTGAAAGCAGGCCGTCTCCCAGAGAGATTCAAGAGAACGTGGGTGACAGAGCCAACACCACTGACACTAGCCCTAATACTCAAATATCTATTCCCTGACTTGAGGTTAAACAACTTGCTCGTGTAGCGTGACGTCTGCCTGTAGGGCATCTTCTGTGGAGGCAAACGTGTCCCACCTCCATCATCGAGACGTCCACGCTGCCTGGTCCGAAAATGCCAAATACCACCGGTTAGAACCCTTCCCACCATCTGCTCCAACCTGCTCCGCCTCACTGTGTGCTCTCAACCGCTCTCTCCCCTCCCGAGGGTCTCAGGAACCCTGGCTCACAGCCTGCCCACAGTGCTCTCCAGCAGAGTCACGGGGAAGCGAAAGGAATGGAGGATCGCCCCGCTCATGGGGGTGAAAGCCC